GATGGGTTCTAACTATGTAAAGATCAAGAAAGTATGGGGTTTGGATTTTCAAATGGATTTGATTATATGATTGGTCATGGGTTTCTTCAAATGGATCGGACCAGGTTGGGTCAATTCGTAAGGTTGTGGGGAGACCACAGCACGCATGGAACCATGGAAGTGGTAGGTCGTCTGAGCCTGGTTGTAAGATGAGACTATAGTTTTTTGTAGCATTCACTTTTAGCATTGGATTGGTGGCGTTAGGCTTGTGTGGAGTTTATGATATTTGGATCCATAAGTGGCGAGATAGCTTGGGCAATTATTTCCAGATGAAGCTTTCATTCGGAAGTCACGTGGGGTGACTGTGTGTGTCTTTTGACTCAACAACCGGGAGGAAATCCAATGTTTCAGTTAGTGGCACACAAGTTGGGACTAGGGAGGTATTAGCTGCTTTTGAAAAGAAGCTATGGGCATCGAGATAAGTCAAGGAAGTGTTAGTGATTTTGGATTCGTATGTGGAGTCGCTTGTTAATTGGAAAATATGGTAATACATTTGCAGCTTGGATTGGATAATCTCATATTAAATGATTTCACCTTGTTACGCAACTCTCTTCTAAGTTTAACCATTATAGGGATGAGTATTCTACTTGAAGGATTATCTGAGCCTTCTGTCAAGTATAAGTGTTCTATAGAAGTACATGACCAATGATTTTGTTCCCAATGGAAGCATCAAGATAATCAAAGATTGGAAGCGTTTTGTTGGTTTGGAATTCAATAAGGTTTCAATATGGTAGTGATACAGTATGGGTAGTCTATCAGGGTGTCAGACCAATTCGAGTATTCGAGATTTCAGGTTTCAAGTAAGGTAGGGCCAATTTTCTGCATGAGATTATGGATTCATCTTCTTTAGGTTTCAAGAGTACTGCTATGGTTTGGATCGGTAGCCTTGGGAAGGCAGTGTGTGTTTGGGGATGAGGTTGCATTTTTAAGTCTATCTGGGTGCCTAGGATTGTAATGAATGATTTTGAGGACGAAATCTAATTCAAGTGCAGGAGAGTTTAACATCTAGATTCTTGAGGACTGAACACAGCATGTTGGAGGAACCAATACGATGTGTCTAGTTAAGGAAAAGCACGGTTCTCATTAAGATCAACACGACGTGTTGATGTCTAAACACGGCGTGTTGGAAGCTAGGAAGGAAACCCTAATTTTTAGGATGTTACACCATATATAATCTCTTTAAGCACTAAGGTGTGGTCTCCTTACTAGCCTCTATTGACACTAAAACCCTAAAATCAATCTTTAAGTCTCTTGTTGGTGTTCTTGAGCTAGTATAAAGTCCTTAGTATTCATTGTTGGTGTTTGTGAAAGAAGAGGAGATCTTGAAGTTGCTTTGTTTGGGGAAAAGGTTTTAGATCCAGAATCATCATCTTGTGAGGAAGCTTTATGAGTTATCAAGTTTTGCATCTTGTCTTGTATATGTTTAGATCTCTTCTTTTGTGCTTTGTTGTGCTTTTGGACCCTTTTTGGGTTCAGGAAAGAGTGAAGACATTTAAGGGATTGTTATTCCAAATTAAAGTTTGTTTTGGTCCCTTTAAGCTTAAATGTGCAAGCTCTATAGGATAATTGGTTACATGCATGTGTTAAGTCCCTTGTTAAGTCCTTTTAAGCTTAAAAGCTTCATTTAGACATGCATAAACATAGAGTTGGCAAATTTATGTGGTTTTCCAGCTCAAGGAAGTCAGATCTATGTTTTAAGCCTATGTCTTCAAGGATTAAGTGCTTATTGTATTAAGCCATTGAATCTCGGGCAAAACGATGTGTTTGCAAGCCAACACGACATGTTTGTTGGGGATTTCCCGATTATCTAGATGAGGGATGAACATGGTGTGTTTGGTCATCATGGGTTGTTGGACTTATAGCTATGGTTTGGGGACCCAGATGTTGATCGGATGTTGTCTTGATATTGATAGTTTCGGGATCTGTCAACCAGCAGCCATGTGTTTTCTGTGTGTTTTGGTAGTAAGAAGTGAGTCTCCTCACTGTGCTTAGCAGGTCGAGGGCACCAATGTTGGCCCATGGTTATTATGTTATGATGCCAGTTTTCCGCGTGACTCTTGCATGTGTATGTATTGGTATGTATGATGGGCGGGGCCCGATAGTTATTTTGTATGCTAGTATCAGGTTATTCATATATGATTTGTATGTGGGCGGCCCGATGATTCTACAGTATGCTACTATCTTTGTGATTTTCGCATGTGTTTGAATGTTATATGATTACATGGTTATATGTTTAGTGGAAAGAGCCCGTTATGCGAGTGTAGGTGGGGCTTGTATCTCATTGTTATACGAGTGTAGGCATGGCTCGTATCTCATTGGGTAGGGCCAATTATTCGATTGTGGGTGGGGACCATATCTCATTTGATGGGGCCCGTTATGCGAGTGTAGGTGGGTCCCATATCTCATTTGGGCAGGGCCCGTTATACGATATGTATGGTATGAGGTATCTTGGGGAAACTCACTAAGCTTTGTTCTTACGATTTTCAATTTATGTTTCAAGAACTTTGGTTTTCAAATGGAAGAGCTCAGGATGCTTGTAGAGCACACACCACACGTTTTCGCATTCTGTGATTTACTCTGATTCGATGATGTTTTGCTGAATCTTGATTAACTTGGTTTTAAAGAAATGATATGTATTAACGACTTAATAATCTGAAAACGACAATTTTATGTCATTATTTTTGGGATGTTACAAATAGGTAGAGCGGATTCGAGATTTATTTATAGATATACATATGTGGGATATTCCAATGACATCGATACCTATGTACTATGTCAGTGAGGCCACACTGTGTAAAGTATATAATACGGTATATAATGGGAAGTTGAGACATCTAGATCTGAGACACAATTTTGTGAGACAACTAATTGAAAGTGATACCGTAAAGGTTGTCTATTCCAACACAAGTGCAAACATTGCAGATCTGTTTACCAAACCTTTGACGAGAGATTTGGTTACATCTACCACGAGAGTCATGGGTCTAAAACAACAATAGAATCGCTTAGTGATGCAAACCCAACTTGGCATTAAAGCTCGTAACTCTCAAGTTTAAAGGGTAATAATGAAGTTACTAATGATAGAATGTACTATCATTAATGATAGATCTATATGAGGTAGGATTGTACGTCATTTTTGAGAACGAGGTTGAGTTGTTGAGCTACGACTCTTAACAATGTTTTGAAGACATCTAAGCAACGAAGATGTTGTAAGAACTTTGCCTATATGACCTAGATATGGTGCCGCCTCAAGTGAAGATTAGTGGTTTAAACCTATAAGGATACCATTAAATTGGTTACGAAAATGATTTATAGTACATGACCATATAAGCACTCTGGGAGAACGCAAAGATGACATGTGATGTGTGGGGGTAAACTGGAGAGCTCACAAGGTTCATGGTTTAAACCTATAAGGATACCATTAAATTGGTTTCTTCTTGTTGGTTCTCATTAAACTAGGGTTTAATCTTCGTGACACCCAAGTGACATCATTTTTCTGAGTGAAAGGAAACTTTCCAACTTGGTCGGGGATTATTGAAAATTATGAAGGTATAATAGCAAGTTGGCTATTTTCTTTTATTCCACATTGGTGGGGGAAGAAACCTTTTGTAGGTTTATAAGGCTTTTCCCTTAATAGGCCTTCAAAGGTTTTAGTGGATCAGGGGATGGGTCAAGCCCACACATGTACGCCTAACCTAGCCAAATATTAGCCGATGTCGCGAGTGTGTGAAATGGTGCGATTTACGTGCCTTTGGCACTTTGCATGACACATCGATTGCTGGGAGCTGAGGAGCTTTTATTATTGGTGGCATCGAGTCTAGTTGGTTTTGACCGATCCGGTCAAACGGTTGACCAACGTTGACTTCGTGGATAAGGCAACATAATATTCTAAAAAAGCTTTGAAAACAACTTGCTTGGAGACCAAGTCGTCACCCTAGGGTTTCTAGGGTGTCGGCTTTTGTTGCCTTCTAGGGGTTCTATACCTATAAATACAACCCTCTGGGAGCCGTATTTCGTACACGAAAATCAGAGTTCTCTTGGCGATTTCTTCCCGGTTTCTCAACATTGACTTTGCATTTCTCGTTTTTCATTGTTGTTGAAAACTCGATAAATCTGCATTAAATCCTGGAGTTTTATTATTTTACTTACAACTAATAGAAGTGAAGTACAAACTTTGAAGGACAAGAGCTCGATTCTTATAGTTCTCTAAGGTCAATATCAGTCGTCAACATGTTGGTTTTACCTTATTGTTTTGCGTTTATTTTCATCCAATAACAAGACAGTCTGATTCTACTCATTTCTTATAATCAAATCTAATAGACAAATATTGGTCTGCTTTCTAGACGAAACTTGATAATTATATTAATAACTTGATATATTTTTCGCAATGAATATAAATATAAATTTCAATATTATTTATGGGTTTCCTATCATGTCTAACGTATGGTTGTCAAAATCGTGATCCTGATCGTAGGATCGTACGATCCTACGATCCGGATCGTAAAAGGATCGTATTTTGGGTAGGATCGCAGGTAGGATCGTAAAATCGTAGGTAGGATCATAGGATCGAGATCGGATCCGATCCTACCTTCCTTTAAAAAAAATTTTCAAATGAAATTTTTTTACCATTTTATGTCTTTTACCCTTTACCAATCTACCATTTATCATTTTTATTGTGATTTACGACTAATATTTTAAAGTTTTTATAACTTTTGAACGAAAAATTAAATATTTGAAATATTTTTTATGATTAATATTATAAATTAGAATTATATTCTATTTTGTGGGATCTTAGGATCTCGATCCCGATCTTAGGATTCCGATTTTGCAAACCCAAAAACGATCCTAGGTAGGATCCCGATCTTGACAACCTTGTAACGGTTCTGATTTACTATGTAGTGGATTAATTTAATAGATATAAACACATAAATAAATAAATAAATAAATAAATAAAAACCAATCAAGCCGTTTTCTCCTCTCTCGTTAACACTCTTCTCGTTAAACTGCTGGCTAGGTGCTCCTAACAAAATCCAGGGGCGATATGCAGCAAAGGTAGAAAGGTCTAACGAACCCTATTAGCGAGCTACTCCCTATAGCTTCAATACCACAAAAGTTAAAACCACCCCTCACAAAAACAACGACACACACATACTGTACATTGACAAAAACACCCCTCACGGACAAGACACGTGCCCACAACCTATCTTTATATATCCGGACCTCCTTTCTCTTTGTCACCCACCATTCTTAAACAAAACCAACAAATATTCTGAATTTATAATCGGGATCATGTGTTGCAGCCATGGATTTATCTCAAGAATCCCTACCACACCCCCACCTCTCGTCTCCCGACAACCCCACTTCTCGATTCCATCCACAGTTCGTATACCTATAGCCACTCGTACTACCAAATCTTTCAGAACAAAATCGGCGGCGGCGGCGGCCGCCGTTAAAGATGGCAGTGGATCTGTATCGGAGACAGTCATGGAAGATCTGAGCTTTTATCAACTTCTAGGGATCCCGGAAACAGTGACGTATGTTGAGATCAAGCAGGCCTATAAACAGTTAGCCAGAAAGTATCACCCCGACGTGTCTCCGCCGGGCAGGGCGGAGGAGTATACTCAGAGGTTTATTCAGGTACAGGAAGCATATGAAACATTGTCGGATCCTAACCGGAGGGCTATGTATGATCGAGATATGGCCATGGGGATTCACTTCGGTTTTTCTTCTCGTAATCATCTCCGAAATGATGAGGTATACTATCAAACAAGTTGCTATTTCTTTTTTTGTGGATCTAAATGCATTTCGTTGTGATTTATGTTCATATTATTTTAATAGATTTTGTGTAAGGTTTACAATCTAGTTACATAATTAACAATAAATTAACATCTATTATGATGGAGATATATTTTAGTCATAAATTTTCTTAGATAATCTTAGAATTTATGAGTACAGCTTGGAGAAGTTATGAAATTTCGGAAGGCATTTGCTTGATAATTTGTTGGGTTGCTTGTAAATCGTAATTAGCCCTTAGATTGGCCATACTTCTTGTACAATTAAGTAGCCTTTTATAGGAATATGATAAGACATGTTGTAGCTAGCGTGTTCGTCTTCTGTTTGGTGTAACTATGCATATACATAATTGATGTCAATTTGTTATTTGTAGAATGAGATTGAAATGGAATGGAACCGAATGAAATATAATATAACAATAAAAGTTAAAATTTATTTATGTGGTTTTTAATATAGTTACAGAAAAATGCACACTTTATTTTTTAAAGCCAACTAAATATTATATTTTTGGATTTTATGGTACTAAAATTGTTTTTTTTGTCAAATAAATTTATGATAAATACTTCTTGCAATATATATATATATATATATATATATATATATATATATATATATATATATATATATATATATATATAACAAAATAATATTTTTTATTTAATTTTAAATAAATTGTTTTTTTATGGTGTTGTTAAATTGACACCATTTATAAACATTCTATAAACATTTTTATTAAAAATCAACCTATAATAAACTATTTACAATTTACTTTTTCAAAAAACAATGCAAATTTATCCAATAAAAAAACTTTAAAAATCAAATATGGTGTTCAAATGAAAATTTAAGGTGTGTCTTTTTAGTCGATCTTTTTTTTTTAACATCATGATATCCAATAAATGGAAACCTTTTTTTTTTTTAACATCCGGCATGATATCCAATAAATGGAAAAGGTAATGACAAACTGTGTAAACATTCTCTAGCTTGGTTATTACAATATCTAGCCATCTAGGGTAAGATAAAGTCATAAACAATCAGCTCTACTTGCTTTATTTTTAATTCCAAAAGACTCTGGTCTGATATCAAGAATTCAATTACACCACCTAAACCAACATTAACTATCACTTCAATGGTTTTAATTATACATACCAAACAACAGTTTTGAACGACACGTTTTATGCTTTTAATCCAACAAAAATTAATTGACACTGATGCTTCATTCTAATACCTCACTTATTTGATTACGTTGTTCATTCCATCATGTAAGATTCAAAAATTTATGTTTTGACCTCTCTTTATGGTATATAGGATTGAGACATGGATTGATGGCAAGAAAACTAGAAAATTACATGATATATATAATAAGTTGTAAGGTGTGAGATTAATGTTAAGAGTAGTAAAGGTAGAACATGTTGTACTTTTCTTGGGTTCATATGTTTATATTTTTTGTATCTATGATTCAGCATATGGTGAAAAGCGAATGGAGAGGCCAATGGCAAAGTCAATTATCAGAGCTTCGAAGAAGAAGCATGCACAAAGAATCCGGTAAAAACTCATCATGGGCAGCTCGTATGCGCAAGCAAAGGGAAGAATCTTCATCATAGTTATAAACAAATCATCAAGATTTTATGTAAATTTACACCCTACTAATTCTAAACTTATATAGGAAAGACGGTTTTGTATATAGTAAAAATTATGTACAATCAATAACAACCCTACTTTTTTACATGACAATATTTGTCTTTTTTTTTTTTTTTTTTTCATGCTATTGTTTCACCTTTGGTTGCTTTCGTGGTTATTGGTGGTCGGTTTTCTAATACGTGGTGGTGGTAGGGCATTTATGTCACCATCTTCCTAACAAAGATAATTTAATTTTCTTGACTTATATATGATATAATAAGTCATCAGTTGATGCCTTGATGATGGGCTGCTGCGATGTAAACTTTTGCGGTTAGTAGGATGGTATGATTACGATGTGTGGGCCCTTTCATAGCTGTAACCATAGAAATTTGTTTTAACAAGAAAGTGAAATTTAAAGATTTCTATATTAATTAAAATTCAGTGGGGGAGAATTGATATTTTTGTTACCTTTATATATATCCAGAGTGCGAAAGAGTTGATCATATTATTTGAATAAAAATTTTGTTTTTCTTTGGACTACGGTACGGGAATATAGTAAGACAAAGTTAGCGAGGCATTAGGAAAATAAATTTTAAAAAATAATACAAGGAAAACTGGATGTTGGTTTATAACTTTATATTAGGTGTACAGAGGTTGATTAGATATGATGTTCATTTAAGTTTGAATTAGAACTTTTATAAATGTATCATCAATTGTCAAAGTTGGACGTGGTTAGGGTGTTTGGATAAATTAGGTTATAAGTTATTAACTTATAACGATGTGAGAAAGTAAATTTTACAAAAATATTTGGATTATAAATAAGCTATAGGCTTTAAGCATTGGGAAACTTTTCAAAAATAGCTTTTTTAGTTTCTTGTGCTTCTATTAAACTGATTTTTAATGTTTCGTATCAAAAGATTTGAACTTAACATAAAGTGGTAGAGATAAACAATAACCTATAAACTTTCTTTTTTCCTTATCCAAACACTATCTTACTATTCATTTCACTAGAGTCAAACTCCTTTTCTATTCACTCACATTATATTTACCAAAATAAAAATAATTTAATTTTAATGTTTATAATTAAAAAAAAATACAACTAATTAATAAACACAAAAATTACTTAAAATAAAAATATTTCATTACTTACAAATAAAAATTACATAATAAAACCTAGAAAACATAATTAAAAATAATAACCCATTATGAAAAACTATGTTACTCCGAATCATTGTTTTCGTCGTCCGTATCCTTCTCCGAGTCATCGACGAACATATCTAAATCTTCATCTGATTCGTTAAAAAAATCATCATGCTAGTACTCTACATCGGGCTGTATGTGAGCCAAGTACATGTGCTCCACCAAATCCGCACAAAATAGTTGATGGATATCACGATCATGGATTTCTCTTCTATTTTCCCTATAGTATTATGTAGCAACAACTACTCCTTTGACGTTTGGCAAAACTTCGTTTTCGTCGTATCAGCATATTGCTCTTACTTCATCTTCGAGAATCATATTATATAATACGATGCACACACATATTACATGTTTTAACCTTTTCACTTCATATGATTATGTCTCGACTTGTGTTACTTGCCAAGCTCTCTTTAGTATACCAAATGTTCACTCCATGTCATTTCTAGTTGACTCTTGTGCCTACTTCAACTTTTTCCTTTTTTTCATCGTTCGGACATGTGAATGATTTCACAAAAATGGATAACATACCATATATCGCATGAGTAAGATAGTATCCACGCTTATATGCTACCCTATTTGCTTCAAACGGTAGATCATGAGACTTTCTAAAGTAGATGTCGTTGAATACCGATAACTGATCGAGAACATTGATGTCGTTGTTTGCACCGAACGGACCAAAGAATACACATCATATCTAAATATCATGTGATGTGATTGCTTCTAGAACAATCATCGGCCCTTTATGATCGGCTCACATGTATTATGTCACATCCCAAAACTGAAAACAGCAGAAACGTTCTGGGGATAGTATCACAACACAGTAATAGTAAACAAGTAAAAAACATCATCCATTGCATTAAATATATAATTTTAATACATGTGTGTTCTTTGTAATGTAATAGACACCTAAAATGAATGATCAAAATAAAAGACGAGTCTTGTTTGTGCTTCGCCTTCTAAAAAAAACCTGTCACCAGTACCTGTCTACTGACGACCTGAGAATACAAGTTATTTTGAAAGAATAGATCAGCATTTAAACTGGTGAATTCACAAGTATTTTAGTGTCTTTGATTTGTAAAACTATAAGGAAAAGACTTGTAAATGTTTGATGAAAAAGTTCGTATAAGTGTGAAAACCCTAGGAAATCCTATATTTCCTCCTACTATAAAATGTAGTCTTCTATCAAGACCCGACTGTTTTGAAAGTATCTATCATTGTAAAAATGATGGTTTTTCCCCATGTAACTATTATTATCAAAATATAGTCTACCTCATATGTGAATGTGTCACAAAATAAAAGTAAAAGGGAAAATTATATAATCATTGAAATATTATCCTTTGGTACTAGGATAAACACAACATACTAATTGCCGAATAGTATTTGTAACAGCCCGGGTTTCCAGGTATCTTTTATTCATATATTTTCTGGTGTTTTGTGAGGGGACTCGGCGAGTTGGAGCTCAAACTCGCCGAGTAGGATCGCTGTTCTGGACGCGGGTTCGCGCCTGGACTCGGTGAGTCCGCGCTGTTTAATGAAACCCTAATTTCCCGGCACTAAGCCCTATTTAAAGGACCTTATGCCCTTCATTGCGGCTACCTTGACCTTGAGAGCACCAAAGCAGCTAAGGGTTCTTGTGAGTGAGATAAGAGGCCATTGTTCACCAAATTTGTGTGTATTTGCAAGAAAGGAAGGGGAAAGTCAAGCTAGAAGAGTGGGGAGCTTGGATCTACTTCCATTTCGCCAGGGGAAGCTTCTTGAGGTATCATTCAGAGCTTATTTCCGTATTTTTGCTGATATGGTCAAATCTAGGGTTTCTTCTTGCCTTGTTTGCTTTGTAATTGAAGTGTGAGAGGTCCCATGGGGATATGGTACCTAGATGTGGACCTTAGCAGGTCCAGAAAGTCCCTAATGCTATGCCTTATGTCCTTCCTTTTAGGTTAGAGACTAGGGTTGCCATCTTAGAGGTTATTTCTCCAAAAAGAGCCTTGTGGGTGTTGCATGGTAGCCAAGACTGTGACTTTACGTGATGAATGAGCTTAGGAGGGCCAGATCTATGAGTGGATGGAGCGGATCTGACCTCAGAAGCAAGATTGAGTTGATGCATGACATGGACTCGCCGAGTCTGAAGAACAGACTCGGCGAGTAGCATGAAGATTGTCCTTAACCACTCAGTGAGTGGTCCTGCCGAGTTATGGTTGGCTTAGTGAGTCATGGAGAGTTAGAGAGGGTTGCCAGGTGGACTGAGTCGAGCTGGAACTCGCCGAGTTGTCCTTGCAACTCGGCGAGTTGAGTTGCAGTAGCCCCGCGATTCATGCCAGGTGGAACTCGTCGAGTCAGGGGAGTACTCGACGTGTCAAAAGAGAATGCTAGAGAGTTGGTGAAAACGTTTAGACTCGCCGAGTCGCTCTAGTGCACTCCCCGAGTCCGGTCAAAGTTGACCGTTGACCGTTGACCAGAGTTGACCAGTGTTGACTTGATAGGGGTAGTAAACCTTAGTGGTAAAAGTATTAATTAGAGATATATGATGTTATTGGAGGATTATAGCTCGGGGATCGAGCACGAGTGATTTCCAGGATTCACGAGTTATCAATATATACGAGGTGAGTCTTCTCACTATACTGTACCCGGAAAGGTTTGACTATGTGACCGGAAGGTCGAATATGATATGAGATATATGCATTATGTGTGATAAGTTAATCGTTATATGTACCATGTATGATATGCTTGATATGGGCCGGAGGGCATTATGTTATGGGCCGGAAGGCGAATATCTTATGGGCTGGAAGGCGTTGTAATGTGGACTGTAAGGTCAATGTGGGTAGGATCGGAAGGTTTACCCATTCGGGACGGAAGTCCCTTGAGACACATGGACCGGAAGGTCAGGGCCTGGAAAGGCGTATGTGCGTAGGTTGTATTTTTGGGAACTCACTAAGCAATTATGCTTAGAGTTGTTCTGTTATGTGTTTCAGGTACTAGCGAGGACCATGGGAAGGCACCGGCGTGATCGTACACATTATCGGGGAAAACTATTTTATGATCTTTGTGATGTATTCGGTTGTGAAAATATTGTTTACGTTTGAATTTAAAATATTAATCGATGTTTTGATGTTTGCAAAAATGAAAAATTGGTTTTAAAATTTCACGTCGTTACAAGATGGTATCAAAGCCTTGGTTTGAGGGATTCGGGTACACCTTCGGGCGTAACTGAACTCAAACCGGGGATTTGAGAAAATTTTAATTAATAAATCAATAAAATTTGATAAATGATTTTTGAAACAACCAAAGAAGAAGAAGTGTGTACGATCAGCCATCGCCCGAACGGTAAAATCCACAAAATACTCTTACAATATGAATTATGAGATATGATATTATATGATACGCATGCTAGTAGACTAGGTATTCATATTAGGACTAGAGTGGCCTGATTTGTGATGCCTTAGTCTAGGGAAACCTGCTTCTATGAGGTGCTTTGAGATCGAGTGGGTAGCTAGTGCATGGCAAGAATAGAGTACTTAGGATCTAGGGTTTTGGAGGAGGACTTGGGGTGAATGCTGATGCGGTGTAGTTGGTAGTATTGGGCCCGTACTACTGAAGACACCGGGTCAGTGGGCAACCCAAGTAAGAATCCCCGGGTATCGGAGACGGAGTAGGGTTGCATTATCAAGAGCGATTTTTTCTCGATAGAGTCTTTGATATTTCTATGTTTTATTTCAGAGGCATCATGGTTGGACCACGCCACAGACCTGGTACGAGCAATGTGAGTGACGAGGAGCTTCGTCAAATGATTCATGAGGAGCTGGCTGCAGCGATCTGGGCTGAGATTCTGGAGATGTTTGGGTCTATTAAGACCACACTGATGGAGACATTTGACGAGCGGTACGCCGGGTTGATTGAGGCCGTAGCCGCTGCAGCTACCGAAGCTGTGACTGCTGCCAGACCACAGGGAGGTGACTCTTTGCTGTTCCGGGGGTTCAGCAACACGAAGCCACCTGAGTTTG